GCCAGCAGATCGAGGAACGTCATCGTTCCCCTTTATTCGACATTGGTGAGGCCTCATCTGGAGCACTGTGTCCAGTTTTGGGCCCCACACTACAAGAAGGATGTGGAAAAATTGGAAAGAGTCCAGCGGAGGGCAACAAAAATGATTAGGGGTCTGGAGCACATGACTTATGAGGACAGGCTGAGGGAACTGGGATTGTTTAGTCTCCAGAAGAGAAGAATGAGGGGGGATTTGATAGCTGCTTTCAACTACCTGAAGGGGGGTTCCAAAGAGGATGGAGCTCGGCTGTTCTCAGTGGTGGCAGATAGATGATAGAACAAGGAGCAATGGTCTCAAGTTGCAGTGGGGGAGATCTAGGTTAGATATTAGGAAACACTATTTCACTAGGAGGGTGGTGAAGCACTGGAATGCGTTACCTAGGGAGGTGGTGGAATCTCCTTCCTTGGAGGGTTTTAAGGCCCAGCTTGACAAAGCCCTGGCTGGGATGATGTGGTTGGGAATTGGTCCTGCTTTGATCAGGGGGTTGGAGTAGATGACCTCCCGAGGTCCTTTCCAACCCTGATATTCTATGATTCTAAGTGTTCAGTAAATATTTATGTGGTTTTTGGAAAGAAGCTGGGTGACGCATTCACATCTCACAGTGATTATTTTTTTGCCTTTTCCAGCAGAAACGAAGTTGGATGTTAAACAGCTACTATAGTTCAATATTTTTAAATATAATTTACACCCGAGTATTAAAAAACTGGCCAAGGATCTCTCTTAACCACTGATGTTGATTTTTAACAAGTCTTGAATTACTAGGAAAGTTCCAGATGGCTGGAAAAATGGCAAAACTTTAAAAAGGGTAAACTGAATGGCTTGGGTACCTATAGGTCAACACTGATCCTGGTGAAATCAAGGAATGGCTGATACAGGAAGCAGTCATTAAAGAATTACATGATGGTATATTAGTGCCAATCAACAATATTTTATGGAAAATAGTATCAAACATATTGGATATCAATCTGGTTAAATTACAAGTTGGGTTGAGAAAGGTAACCATGTTGACACAATATACACCTCCACCCCAATAGAACGCTGTCCTCAGGACCCCCAAAAAATCTTACTACGTTATAGGTGAAATTGCATTATATCGAACTTGCTTTGATCCCCGGAGCACTGCTTTACCGCGTTATATCCGAATTCGTGTTATATCGGGTCGCATTATATCGGGGTAGAGGTGTACTTAGACTTGTGTAATGCATTTGACTTAGTACCATATGACTGGAGGCTGAAGCTAGACAAACTCCGATTAGAAATACATTTTATTTTAAATGAGGCTAAAACTAAGTGAGGATAACGAATTGAACAGTCTTTAAATCTAGATTTAACATCTTTTTAAAAGATATGTCACAAACTATGGGCTTGATGTGGGAATTATGGGTGAAATGCTAATACCTGTGTTAAGGGGGTAAGATTAGATGATCAATATTGGTCCCTTTGTAGCTTTAAAGTTTATTAACCTACTAATGGGTCAGGTTAAAATTTATAATTATTATATTAGCACCATATTAGGTTATTAAAACTCAGAGATTTAAAATATAACCTAATTTTTACCATTGATACTGTGTGATTACTTTTGCAATTCACATAGCTAGGTCATGATAAAATAGGTTAGTTCCTCCAGTTGATTTTCACCGACTAGCACAACATTCATCACAGGAGATGCAAAAATTGCAGTGGAATGTTTGCTCCCAAACCAAAAACTTGATGACATCTAAGCATTGCAAGTAAGAGGCAACTTTACATGTTGAAATACTCAGAATCAATAGATGGCAGTCAACTATTTTTTTCTTATTTTGTTGGTTTGAGTCATAGCCTTATCATTCTCGTTTGCATTTTGCTTTGTTCTTGGTATGTTGCATACCAGAATATTAATCTGAGTAGATTTTTCTAGTTTTTCTCCACTATCATGTCTTTATATTTCACTGAAATTTAAAATTTTCCACTTGGAATATTTACAAATTTTCTTCAACTTTTTATGCTTCTATTTTAATTTTCTAGTTAAAATTCTGAAGTCTAGCAAATCCTAAAAATTAAAAACACATCATTTGAGTTAAATGTGAATTGCCATATAAGAACTGTGCTACTTTTGATATGTCTTTATGGACATACAAGAAACAACGTTTTTAATTTTTCTGGAAGTATTTTCCTCCTGGTTTTTCCATTGGGTATTAAAAGGTGGAAAGACTGCATCTGATAACTGGAAAAAATAAGTCTTAGAAGAATCTGAATAGTCACATTTGCAAGTCAGACTGAAACCTGAACTGCAGTTCTCATGTCAGTCAACTGACAGGCTTGGTGATGGTTAATTTTAGGGAGCTATTTTAAAATCACTCAGATTTTTGTGCTGAATGTCCTCATTAGACAGGTTATGAGGAAATTCAAAGACATTTATAACTAACCCTTTAAAACATTTTTTCCTTTAAACTTCTCTTGGCTTCTAGCTTATTGGTTGTATCCCAGAAAGCATTGTCCTGTGCAATCACAAATACCATGGAACACAACTTAGTAGTAATAAGTAGTTAGTAGTCACATCCAGGGACACCTTCAGTAAACCAGAAGGTAACATTATTTTGTAGGGGTGGGGTGAACTTTAAAAGTTAGTAAAAAAAAACGTATTTCTCTGCTGAAATCAGCCTAGTCAGCAAGAGCATTCAGTGCAGCAATTTTGGCTTAACATTTCTCATTTTGGTTTTGTAGTTCACGTTAATACAATAAAACATTAAGCTTTCATCCTTCTGACTCTGTGAATTTGGAGTCCATGATAGTATGATGTTAATAGTACCAAGCAAGAATTAGGTAGCCACGACTCAACAAGAACCAGATTTAAGTAGTCTCACACAATATCCATCCCATGTCAGCTGGCTCTGCTGGAAATAAAACTCAGGTTTTTGCCCTGAAATATGACATCACCATCTTTGTCCTTCAAAGACTGCCGAAAGTCTTCCAGCAAGAGAGAAGTTTAGAACAGATCCCAAACCTCTTGTACAGAGCACTTGAAGTTTTACATGTGGGGCACTGTGAGGCACTGTAAAACGTTCTTCCCTTGTTAAAAATGTAGCTCTTGATATAGCCCTAGCATCAGAAACCATCAAAAAAATATACCACAGATTGCACACACAGACAAAAATATACCAAGATACAATGGCTAAGAGTTAAGTTACATTAGTCGGATATCCGATCAAGTTTAACATATATTTGCTTGTACCCTAGATGGTACTATAGAAGATAAAATATATTTACACCTTTGCTGCATCTGAAACAGTGTCCCAGTTGCCTCCACTTAAAGAGAATTTTCCACTGCCTATCCGTAACAGGATTTCCTCAGGAGTATCATTGGGACCATTGGCAAAAGGAGTATAGCTATTTAAAAAAAATTACAAGTAAAGAAAGGATTACATGTATATGAAATCTATAAAGAAACATGACGTAAGCAAATCTTCAGAAAGCAGTGTCATTCTGTCTAGATACTTATAGTAGTGTTACTGTAGTGTTACAACTATATTATGTGATTTCAGATATCTACTAAAATACATGAAAATTTAATCTTTAAAAACTTTTCTTTTTATTCATTGCAGTGGCTTATCCAGTGGAACAAACTAAGTACAGACCAAAGATCCATAGTAGCTAAAGGTTAACAACTTGCAGGCTATCATTCTTACCATTCCAGAGTTCATCAATTAAATTGAAATGTTTCACAAATAGAAATGATCGGGAATATCCTCATGTAAGGTCATCACACTTTTTAAACTGAACGGCAGTGAAGTGACCAATAAATCTGACTGAAGTCCATAAACATGTCTATACCTTTTATCATGGACAGAAAATACAAACAAACACAAAAAAATGTGACTGGGACTGTTTATAAGACTCAAGTTTGGGAGGCTCTCATTTCTGAAAATTAAAGAAAAGCTGTTTTCAGAACCTTTTAGAAAGTTTTAAGAAACAGTCTCTGTCTGTAAAGTTAGATCCCTTACTAACCATGAATCCAACTGTGGAGCACTCAGAAGAGTTAAAATTAATAAATATAAATCACATCCAAGAGACCTGAATAGTTCCTAAGAATGTTACATTGTCCTGTTCCTTCCATGTCTAGAAGCAAACATTGAGTAAAACTTGGACAAGATCAGGCCTATTTAGATTAGCACATGACACTGTTTGCAAACATTTGCAACTACCCTTCAATTGTAATTTACTGTGATTTCAATAATTTATTAATCCCAGATGTATGACTGTTTGCTACCCGGAAAGAGCTGCATTTTTGAGAACTTCATGGTTGAAGCCTCTTGCCTTTCCCAACCTATGAGCATAAGGATATAGAACATTAACACTAACATTCTAAGATACGCATAGTGATGGTCAAGTACCTGGTGCATACTGAATATTAATATCTTTTAAAAGTTAATGATTTCATAAGTTTTGTTTAAAGTTGAAGAATTAACCTATAAAATTTGTTATGTAACTGCTATCATGGATGACAAAGTCCACAATGTTTACACTTCTAAAACAATCCTCTTTCAGGTCCTGGGAGGGCACAAAATTAAGCCCCTTTGAAAAGCAGAAACCTATGTGTTTTTGTTACTTCTCTACATCTTAAAAATCAATTACATTCCAGATGTTCCAAAAATATTAATCTTTTGACTGCAAATAATGAGACTGCAAATAATTAGTCCAGAAAAGTACTTTTTGAAAGTGTTATAGTGGGATGAGAAGTACAGGTTAGAGAATTAAATGGCAGCTACAGCCTTTTACTCATGTGCTGCTACTACTAGTGAGTGTCCATCATGCATTAAAGCTATAATGGGCAGACTACCAAAAGACTGTGAAACTCATGTAGCAAAATTTACCATTTCTTGCCATAAGGAGAATCTCCTTTAAGGATTATTACTTTCAGTACTGTACTCTTGCAAAATCATCTTTAATTGGCCTAACAACAATTAAGACAATGCCCCTTTAACACACTGGTATAGGATAGCCACCCTGAGAAGCAGTATGTACCTCAAATTTCAGTAAAATGGACTGGATTCTTGTCCAGGAATGTCATGACAGCTATGAAAGCTTTTCCATGTTTATTGCTAAAAGTTTGTGTCACTAAAATTCCAGCTCAGAGATATTACTCCGAAGATCCCAAAAATACCCAGCACCATCATATATTCAGATTTTGTATTGAAGTGAATTTGAATTAGCATTCTGGGGAATGAAATCTTAACACTAAGCAGCTGTCTATAGAAGGTTCACTAGAACCTTACACAAAACTCATCTGGCCTGTTAGCTGCGAGGCAGTTATCAGAATACAGTATGAAAACTTGATCTGCAAAATTTCTGATGCTGAAGCTAGGGTAGAACATGTGACTAAATAGGAGTCTGACTTCGCAATTTTTTAAAAATATTAATTACACACTATCATTGTCATTAGGGTCACATTTATATACAAACATTTATATTTTGAAATTCACAAGTAATAATATACTAATTCAAATAGGTAGATATGAATCTATAAATTGGAATTTGCTGCTAAAATTAAGTCAACTGTCTGCCTAAAAGGAATAGGAATAGGTGATAGCACTAAAGATTAAGGATATGATACTATCATTTTACTAAAAGCCTCGCTTCAAATCTCAACCTCAGTTTATTATTTGCTATGAAAACGTCAACAGAAATTGCATCCTTTTATATTTGGATGCTGCTAAAGAAAGTAACAATTCATTTTTCCATAATGCTGTAATTTAGAGATTTCAAAACCCATCTAATGAAATGTTCCATACCCATGTAATGTATCATTTTTGTGTCAACATCAAAATCCTTAAGGGATCTTGGCCACTTGAAATCTGATCAGAAAAACAGTTGTGTATGTGACCCTAAATCTCCCTACCAAATTTGGTAGTTTTGCACTCTTATTTTTAAGCACTGTTCTTTCCCCTGTTCCTATACAAAAGATACAGACCAGGATAATTAGCTATTCAAAGCAAACAGTGAAAATGACTACATATGTAGGGCTGTCAAACATGAAATAGAGAAAAAAATGTTTCTAATATTTTAGTTATAGTAATCTTAGGCACATTTTTTTCCAGACAGGAGCACAATTACATTGAAAGCAACTCATTCTAGATTTTGAATATTTCCATAAGTTTATTAGGGTTACCATCTTTTAGTTTTTAAAAAAAGAGGACACTCGATGGGGACCTAGCCCCGCCCCAACCCTTCCCCGCCCTCAGCCCCACCCCAACTCTGCCCCCTCCCCTGAACGCTCCGCCCCCTGCTCCTCCCCCTCCCCTGCTTCCCGCGAATCAAATGTTCGCAGGAAGCCTGAAACAGGGAGGCAGCAGGTAGGCTGGGGCGGGGTGCGGCGCGGCTCAATCCGGCCCTCCTGGCTGAGCGGCTCCCTTCGGCGGCCGGCCCAGGCCAAGAGGCTCTGGCCCCGGCATCTCCCGCCCGGCTTGGCTCGGGCCCTGGGGCACTGGCTCCCGGCCCGGCCTGGCTCGGCACTGCGCCCCCGGCTCCCGGCCCAGCGCCCCCGCACCCCCCGCCCCGCGCCCCCGCACCGCCGACCCCAGCCCCAGAGGCCCCGGCCGAGCCCTCCCGATTTTCCCGGACATGTCCGGCTTTTGGGGATTTCCCCCCCGGACTGGGATTTGAGCCCCAAAAAGCCAGACATGTCCAGGAAAATCCGGACGTATGGTAACCCTAAGTTTATGTTAAATGTTAACACATGAAGAACACTGGTGAATTATGGAAGCCTTCTATTAAAATATACTTTATTGCAATCCATATATTTTAAGACTGCTGCTCAGCATGCCACAATGCCTGATACTGTACAAAGCTTATTGCAAGTAGGGAAAAAAAAGATTTTCATTCAAACAAGTAGTAAAATCTAGAACTTTTACATTCATTATCATGTCTAATCCATCTCAGGGCTGCTGTCATATCAGAATGTCTGTGTGTATACATCATACTAATAATTCCAGGAAACTAACTGAAAGCTGAGAAAAATCTTACCCTGCCAGCATTGTGTAAAGGAGAACACCCAAGCTCCAGATATCACAAGCAGCATCATATCCCTGTCTCATGAGAACCTATAAAACAAAGAGCTGTTAAAGTTTTATTTGCTGCATGTAAAAAACTACAGTGAGGGTAAGCCAATCCCAACATTCTTTCTTAAAACCAAACAGAAATATGTCCAATATACTTAAATATAGCCAGTATAAATATTTTGAAAACATGCTTGTGTCTTCCTACTGGGGGCCACTACCACCATTTTATTAGGTTTGAGCCACTCCTTGAGAGATCATCAGCACAAATAAATTGACAGTAATATTGTGCTGTAAACCCAAGAACCTGATCCTACTGTCCTTAATCATGGGAAACTCCCACAGAAACAATTTCCAGATTAAGGTCTGCAGTATTGTATCCCAGTGAACTTTAGGGACAGATATAAAAGGAAAATGCTTTCAGTGTCTTTTATTGTGACATTTCTCATTGTCTAAAGGAACGTGTTCTCTTTAAAGATCTCATTGTGATACTAGATGCACATGGCACAGTTGATGCAATCTAAAGATGCAGAATACAAGCAACATTGTCTCTAAGGAAAAAAGCTTGGGAAAATGAGGGAAAAAAGACATGAGTATTTTAAATGCATTCCTGGACAAATATTTAAAGGGAAGATAAAAATGCTGAAGTTGTAATTAGAAAGATATCTAGCCTGAATTTGAGTCTATGGAATTTATTTGGAACTAATCCTTTTGAGACTTAGGATGGCAACATTTAAGATCACCACTCTGAAAACATAACCAGAGCATTGTCATGACAGGATGTTTCCCTTTTTACCTGTAACAGCTATTTTAGTCTAACAATGACTTCTAGCAGTTTTGGTAAATTGCTATTAATACTAAGAGTAAAACTGAGGAAGGAGTCCACAAACTAGCCCACAATGTAGGCAGTATTGAATAAATATTTTGTAGGACAAAAAGGGATCTAAATATTGGTTACACAGCAAGGAAAGAATGTATAGTTGGTTAATTTTAGCCCATTAAGCTAGGAAATAAATTTGAGACAAATTTCTCATAAAATCATGCTTTTAAATTCCAAAGGAAGAGCACATCTTATTTGTGTTAAATAAAAGCCATCGTGAAGACTTATTTACAGTGTGTGAATGGCATTTATAGAGAAGTTTAGGGGAAAGGAGAACAAGGTTTGGAACAATTAAACGTGTTGTTCACACCTTTTAGTAGAAAAATATGTCCCTCTCAGAAAGGTTACGATGATGAAACATGGTTTCTTCATGAGTCAGAATGGTACATATAAAGTCATTATATTAAACTGCTGAAGATACCTCTGGTGCTACAAAGTTGGCAGTGTAGCAAGGAGTTAAAAGAAGTCCATTCTCCCCTCGAAGTTGTTTTGCAAATCCAAAATCACAAATCCTGATAGAGTCAGCATTATTTGAGTCATCCATATATAAAATATTACTTGGCTTAAGGTCGCGATGCACTACCTTTAAAAAAATAAAGAGACTTCAAAGTATAATACTTAAACTATTTGTAACTCAAAGATAATAAATGTTTATAGGACACATGTGCAAAAATATGTAATTTCCTTATCTGTAACTGTTCTATGAAGGTAGCACAATATTGATCCACACAATTACTTAAAGTACATGATGTAACTCCAGAAATTCTGTATCTTCTAAAATAACATTACATAGAAGCTCCTGAATCATGGTAAAGATGCAATTATCCTTTATTGACCCCCACAACCGAGAAATAAAACCTACTCCATGTCGTAAGCAGGGCTGGCTCTGGCTTTTTTGCCGCCACAGGCAAAAAAGCCTCCCGCCATCCCCACCCTCCCTCCCCCGCGCGGGGAGCGTGGCAGGGGAGGGCGCCGAGCCCGGCCGCGGGCCCACTCTCTCCGGCGGCCAGAGCGCCAGGAGGAGGGCGGCGAGCCCGGCCGGGGCTCGCTCTCCCCAGCGGCCAGAGCACGGGGGGAGGGCGGCGAGCTCGGCCGGGGCTCCGCTGTCCCCGGCGGCCAGAGTGCCGGGGGGAGGGCGGCGAGCCCGGCCGGGGCTCCGCTGTGCCCTGCGGCCAGAGCGCCGGGGGGAAGGCGGTGAGCCCGGCTGGGGCCCCGCTCTCGGGCCGGAGCCACGCGCCGCCTCCCCCCCTCTAGGTGCCGCCCCAAGCACATGCTTGGTGGGCTGGTGCCTGGAGCCAGCCCTGGTCGTAAGCTACAAAGGTTAATCCATTTCTCAGAACAGTAGGATTGTTTCTACAATGTTAAATGATTATTTATGATAAAGTATATAATTTTTCTATTTGAAATACTGTTTACATTCTAATCTATGAAAGGTCATTAGCACTGATGTAATGTCAGATAGTTAAAAACTTATGAAAGACCAAATGAAAATACAACTTTTCTCTAAAGTTCTCTTTCCTGACCTTGTTAACAGGGCTAAATCTGGGAAATAATTGTTTGACTCAAACAGTGTATAATTATAGGTATAAAATTATTATTGTTTTAATTGCTGAAAAGATACATCTCCTGTACTGGATAACACATATTCCCTGTTTGATGATGCTAGGAAGGTTTGCAATAAAGTGACAACCTCCCTGACACAAGAAGAGAAAGAGCCTAGGATTTAAATGGATTATGAAAAAGTTACCAGTATTTCCGCACAACATAAAAAGATCCTCCTCTTGTTTCGTTCATTGCCCCATACATATGATTTTGTACTAGATGTGGCATTGTTTCATACAACAATTTAATAGTTATTTGTTTGCATATAATTTTACCCTTTAAGATTTGGAAAAATTTAATTACTACAAAAAACAGAACTCCTAAATGGGCTTTCATTTTATCAAAAGGGCAGCCTGTAGTGAAAGCTACTCTAAGTAGCGGGATGTCTGTGTTCATTACTGAATCTAGGTTTCTACATATGGAATCAAACTCTCTTGCCATAATCTTATGATTCATCTTGTGTTCAATTCAATAATTTCAAGAAAATGTGAGGGTTTGTACATTCATTAATGATTCTAATACTTGCTAGGAGGATATTAGTGTTCATTGTGGTTTTACTATTTGAGTGTTAGACATTTTTAGTGATAGCACCCCACATATATAGGGGGCCCAAATCTTGCAACAATTTCTGATGTAAATAGTCTTTGCTCATGTGAGTAGATACTTTATAGCCAATACGCCTATTCTTGAGTAAGAGAGGAAGAGAGGTACTA